ATAAAAACACGGATGACCCACTTGTTTTGTTGATTCAAAAATTTATTTCAGATATTTTTTGGGAAATGAGATAAACTACTCGAAATTGATTTGTCAGTGAATCGATTTATATTAAATTTAATACAATTTGTATATAATTAAGCAGAACTACATACGATCAAAGCCTTATGTGGGCGTATTTACCGGACTGCATCGTACGTCTCTGATAGTGTATCTCGTAGAGTGTAAAAACGTAACTGCAACAATTCTTAGCTTTTAAAAAAACTTTTCTTAATACAGCCGTGATTCATTTATAAGTACATGGTAAGAAAATTAAAAACTTGTAATATATAAACGATTTAACTGTTTAGGTACGTGACAAAGCAATAAAGTGATCATATTTCTTAAGTTATGATGTCAACTAAGGGTTGACATGTACCTTCTTCTTCTTCTTCTTTAAGTTTCTAGCGATCCTTCAATTATTGAAGATTATTCGCCGGGCGTCGACTATAAAATTTTATAATTTACATTGTAACAAGAAAAATAAAAAGAAACAAAATCAAAAAATCAAAATAATGTATGTGCATTTGTAAAATTTCATTTAGATAAAACTATATACATTTGATAACAAAATAGTTAGGGATAGAAAATGGGGATGAGAGCAGATTCTGAGATCATACTCTTGAATCCCTGTACTGTACTGCATGATACTATTTGTTGTGGCAGAAGATTCCAATCTATAACTGTTCGTGGATAAAATGAATATTTATAACTGTCTTTAGATGTTTGTATTTGCCTAAATGAGTGTGGATTGCTATGTCTAGTTCTATTGTCTAGTGGGATCAAAAGGTTAAATGTAGGGACTGCAACAATTTCATGTATAATTTTGTAGAAGAAGACAAGTCTGTATCGTAAACGCCTAATTTCAAGTGGGTACCAATTTAAGTCTGTCATCATTTCAGTAACTGAGCTGGTGTTATGGAAGCGGTTGCATGAGAAGCGCGCTGCTCTTCTCTGAACTTTTTCAATTTGTGAAATTTGCTGTTTTTGATGTGGATCCCAAATAGTTGAGCAGTACTCTAGTTTTGGTCGGACAAGAGCTTTAAATGCATGTGCTTTAACTTTAGGTGAGGCTATTTTAAGGTTTCTACGAATAAATCCAAGAGACTGATTTGCTTTTGATGTCATGTTATTGATATGTTTGTCCCATTTTAAATTTGATTGAAGAGTTAGGCCTAAATATTTTGTAGAGTCAACTTTTTCTAGAGAGTGATTGTGTAATTTATAAGTGAAGTCTAAAGGTTTGCGTTTTTGAGTTACACTGAGAATGTTGCACTTATCAGGGTGAAAATGCATGAGCCAGTCCTGCTCCCATCTGCCGGCCGCTTCCAAGTCAGACTGTAATTTATATGTGTCATCTGGTTTTTTAATTTCCCTATAAATGATACTGTCATCTGCGAACAATCTTAATGTACTATGTTCAATATATTCTGCCAAATCATTTATAAATATTAAGAATAAAATTGGACCAAGCACTGTGCCTTGAGGTACCCCAGATGTTACAGGAATTTTATTTGATGTTTCACCTTCAAGGACTACTGTTTGTGTTCTGTTTGTTAAAAAATCTTGAATCCAATGTAATGCATTGCAATTTATACCGTAGAAACCGATTTTATACATGAGATGGTGGTGTGAAACTTTATCAAATGCTTTTGCAAAATCCATTATTATGATGTCTGTTTGAATGTTTTTATTATTTGAATTTGCAAGATCTTGAATGAATGATATTAGCTGAGTTTCACAGGAGCGAGATGATCGAAAACCATGTTGTAAGTCATATAGAATTTTATTTTTTTCCAGATGTTTCATTATATTACTAGCTACAACATGTTCTAATAGTTTGCAGCAGATGCAAGTCAATGATATGGGGCGATAGTTTATAGGGTCGTGTTTGTCGCCTTTTTTGAATGCTGGACATACACTTGCGTGACGCCAGTCATCTGGGATCTTTCCAGAGTTCAGTGATGTTTGGAATATGATTGACAAGATGGGAGTGATAGATGTCTATACTCTTTTAAAATTTTTCCATGGATGAGATCAGGCCCAGCTGCTTTGTTGATATTGATGTTATTTAGAAGTTTTTCTATGCCCTGTTTTTGTATTTTAATATCAGGCATCTGTGGATGTTTACTGACGCCCTTATCTGGTATTGGATCATCTGTTACAGGTGTGAATGCTTTTTTGAACTGCTCATTTAAAATATTAGCTTTTGCTTTTGAATCAGATGTAAGTGAGCCCTCTTTTCGGAGTGGTGGTATGTTAGAGCTTTCAGACTTTTGTGTTTTTATATAACTGAACAGATTTTTGGGGAAGCTCTTTGATATAGTAGTAGGGTTGTCATCAACTGGTATACCACATATCATATTTTCAATATAATTCCAATAAGATGTTCTTTGTTGTTTTTGTATTTCATGTTTTAATTTTTTGAGTTGGTCTTGTTTCCCTTTGCCTTTCAATTTGTACTTTTGATATTTTTTCTTGTACTTTTTCATTTGTCTTCTAAGACTGTCTGTTATCCAAGGTAGATTTTTGCTGTTTCTCATCATTTTCTGTGGTATGTTCTCAGAGATAGTGTTTTGTAATGAGTTTTTAAATATTAGCCAAAGTGTATTTGTATCTTCACTATCCTTTTTATGCATGATCTTTTGATATGTTTGATCTATATCCTCTTTTATTTTTTGCCAGTTTGCATTTTTATATTTATAGATTTTACGTGGCTTGGTTTGGCATCTTTTTAATGATAATAAACATTCTATATATACAATATCATGGTCTGCCTCTCCTAATGGTGGTATGGTTTCAGTTTTTTCAATGATGGCTGGATAATTTGTTAACACAAGATCTAATATTTTATCATTTCGAGTTGGTATGTTTACAACTTGTGCTAAAGAATAGTCATTTATTATGTCTAAAAATTGCTGATGTTGTTTTTGATTTGTTTTTCCAGGGATGACGCTTGTTGTTTCCCAATTGATGTTCCCTAAATTAAAGTCCCCACCAATAATTATGGCTGACTTTGAGCTGGCGTTTATTCTACTTATTGATTCATTTAGCAAATCTAAAGATGTATCATCATCTGGCTGAGGTCGATAATAAGCACATATATAACATTTACGTGCATTTGATATTAAAAGTTCTACCCATATCATTTCACATCCTGTGTCTAGTTCTTTGATTTCTGTACATAAACAATTTTTTTTTTGATATAGCTATGAGTACGCCTCCATGACATTGGCCTTTTTTTATTCTTTCTGAATATGTTTGCGCGATAAACGGTTGTGTATTACTGGCCCAAAACCAGTGAGTCTTCTGGAAATATTTTCGATAATCACCCGAAAAACAAATTTTTTTTTATTAAAAGACCAGCATCGTAACTATAACTCTTGGACGTTAAAATTGAAAATCGTAAAATCAAATTTAACCGCTTGGTAGTGATCACTTACACTTCTTTTAACTTCTAATCTATTTCATGATGCAGTTTTTAATTTAACATCTAACAAAAACATTTCTTTGCACTGTCCTTAAAACAATGCATATATCCTGTACGTCCAGTCAAATGAGAGACGGCAACTTCAAGACGCACGTAAGGAGAGCGGCGCGCTCTATGCACATTAACAAACACGAGCTACAACTCATGTGGTGTCAATATGTGACCTTTTAGCTATTGCAAGGCTTAATTCAACTCCATACGCAGGTAATTTCGAGTGGAAATAAAATTAACAACAACTTTACCCGATCTACCTTAACTTATTCATACATTATTTGTCGTCCTTCATATGTGTAAAATATTTGCCGCTGGATGTTAATCATTTAGTATGCATTAAATATTTGCCGCTGAATGTTTTAACACTGACCAACAATCAATATAAATTATAATTAAGCAAGACAAACAACAAACGATGCATTGGTAACAATTAATATCATAGAAAGTTCACTTTAAAAATACAGACCATTCTCAACTCATTGAAAGGCTATATAATGTGTGTAAGAAAGAGTGAAATAAAAAAGAAATGGTAAGATCTTGTTGTTGTAATGGAAATGTTTGGTTGCTCACATTGACGCTGTTACAGTATTTCTTTTTAAACCAGTTGATAATTTGTTTAGTTTCCTACTTTTTGGTGTTTGAACATTCTGCTATAACCAATGTGAAGTGTACGCATGCGCTAATATTCAGAATTAATCACCTCATTTACTACAGCTATGTATGTATTATACGAGATAATTTAGTGTCATTAGTAATGTTTTAATTGACATTAAATATTTAACATATATGTGTCATCTTAATCATTGTCAAGTACGCTATCCGGAGGCTTATATGTTCCATTTATCTTTATAATAAAGGATGATTAAGTTATTGAAATATTCGAAATTTTGAACATTTTTACTCTCAATTTTGTTTTCTTTAAATTTCGGACAGTATTAAAAAAAGAGTTAAAATTATATTTGCTTTGAACTTAACACCGTTTAAAAGATAATGTAGACAATCGTTTGTAAGCGTCAATGTGAGCAACCATCAATGGTCTGCATTGTAGACAATTGTTTGGATTTTCATTTTCCATATTTGTAATAATAAATGATGGTAAAGGTTGAAGATAGAAGACTGTTTAACGTCCACTGACTAGTGGCAAATTTATTGAATATTCAGGACGAGATCATGTATGCGTGATATTAATATAAACCCCACAGTCCTCTAGAGCGACCCACTAAGCCGGATTTTAACTTGTTAGTTCACAAAAGAACAGACACTTGAAGTCACGTCACACTACCCGGACATACCATTTTGACTCCGGGCCGACCAGTCATTGCTATTAATCTTAAATTGTTTATTGGCGCGAACACAATTTAAATTTTCAAGTTTGCTTTGACCCACGAAACCACGATATCCCATCCTCGAAGCGAGCTGGCTTCCACGAGACCTCTGAGGTAGAAATAAAAAAAAAATGATTAGGGGTAAACATCAATGAGACAGCAATAAGAGCAAAATAGAAATGTTATAAACTATAAAACATTGTTTTTGCATTGGGAAATTAATCTGATGAAGATAACTATTATACTACAATCAACTTGAAGAAACATAACTGAATATAAGATAAATGCTAGAAGTGACAGCGTCATTCATGGTTCGTTAACAAAGAAAAATTGCTTTAATGACAACAAAAGTCGCCAATGCATATACTTAAATAAATGTAGATAATATGTAGGTTGTTTGTTGTACACTATTATGGGTTCATAACAAATTTGACAATCTCGTTTCCGTCAGGGTCCGGTTAACAGTTGGATTATTCATAGTCGTTCATTTCCTTAAACATGTGCACTTTATATGGGATAAACATTTATGAGCTTTGTTAATATGAAGTTATAAGAAATACTTTTATTTTCATTTTGTGGTTTGTGAAAGATTCAATTTATTACAATGAATCATAAGATATAAGCTGTTACTCTTGAGTAATAGAAAAATTATTTAGTTTATAGATAAGGCAGTTTAGTTGTAAGAATTAAAATGGATGAAGAAGAAATTCTTGATAACTGGAACTACCAGCTCAGCAATCATTTGATCGCAAACAATATAATATTAGTGTTCTATATGGTTATAGGATTATTTGGTAACATTTTAGTGATATTCATATACATCTTTAAGTTGAAGAAAAAAGATGACCGGTATTTCATTCCTGTTCTTGCGACGATGGATTTAATGGCATGTTCAGTTGGTTCATCGTATGCACTAGCATTAAATCTACTTCCTGCCAAGTTTACAAGTGATATTCTGTGTAAAGTGTTATGGTATTTTAGCCAAGCTACGACTATTTCGTCTGGGCTTCTGCTTGTTGTAATTGCAGTGCAGCGTTATCTTAAAGTCTGCAAACCAATGTTGTCACTAACCTTACGTTGGAAACGAATTGCAATATTTATGTGCTTTATTACATCATCGATATTTTCGATTCCGACGTTATTCTTTTACGGAGAACTGCAGTTTCAACATCCAATTAATTCTTCAGTTATGGGATCAAGATGTGGACAAATCGAGAGAACAGACAATTTATTCCGTAATAGTGTCATATCATACACTATATTAGAATTCCTTGCGGCCATTGCTGGTTGTATATCATTTACCATTCTCTATGCTCTTATAGGAAAGCAGATATATAAAAAGTTTATTGTCTTCCGACGAACAACGACTCTCAGGCGACGACCGATCGGCAAAAATAATAAACCGAAATCAACGTCAACTACAGACGACGATAAAAATAGAGCGTCGGTAGACAGCGTAGACATCATAGACATTGTGTCTTCAATTAACAATAGTCAGGAAAGCATCGTAGATGACAGTCAACCATCCCAACGGAAGAAGCGGCGATCTCTCGACGTATTACAAGAAAACGTTTCAGCTTTAAAGCAGCATTTTCATACACATCGTTATACATACATGTTCATGGCAATTACTTTATTTTTCATGATCACTTTTACTCCTCGTATCACATTGATGGTATTGGAATCAGTGGACCATAACTTCTGGAGGAATCTGGTTGACCAACCTGAAACAATAGCTGTATGTTTGTTTTTCTATCGTTTTTACATTTTCAATCACATTATTAATCCATTTATTTATGGATTTTTTGACACTACGTTTAAGTATGAAGTTAAAAAATTATTTTGTTTGACAATTGATTCACGGGCTCGTGACAGTGAGTTTTAAGGTGACATAGAAACAGTCCATGGCGTTGATATTTATCACTAAAGTCTTCTTGTTACATTTAAAAGCAACAGAAAAACTTTTCTATTCTAACCGCTGACGAAATTATATATTTGATACATCAAATGGCGGGGAGAGGAAATTATAAAATTGAATAAAAAAGCTGATTATAGTGAGAATCAATAAAAGTTAGAATTCCTGTATTGCTGCATTGTACTCCGTCTTCAACATATTCTCCTAACTTCAATAAAAGTTAGAATTCCTGTATTGCTGCATTGTACGCCATGTTCAACATATTCTCCTTACTTATGTTTTATTTCACTTAAAATTCAGCTTTTTATATTGTCAAGGATTTGTTCAAGTACTACAGTTAAAAGTCTGGGGTTTTGCAAAGAAAAAAGAAAGTCGGAGCCTTTAAAACTGACTTAATTTATTTCTTATTGTAACTTAGTGAAGAGCAATAATATATATATATACATCTTCATACAAAAAATCCAGAAACATACAAAGTGCTGTTCTCGACGTTCATCAAATTTTACCCTTTTCATTTGCATATTTATTTATTTTTATTCTGAACACATTTTCACCGTAACCTCGCAGTATCATTGTCCATTATAAACCACTAGATTCTTTATAAAACCAAGTATAGAACTTGAAGTTGTTTCATTCGTTTCCCTGAGAGCTATATTGTTTGAATTTTAATCCATGAAACCGCTGAGAATGCAATACATGACGTCATACATTTGATATTTTATAGTTTCACATGTTTTCCGGCGTTATATCATATACAATAATAATGATAGGACACTTTTGTAGAATACACAAAAAATTGAAGAAAAAAAAAATCAGACGTTTGTCATTTGCACAATAGTTCGTAATGTTACTTTTAGCGTTATTGTATTCTTCAGTATTGTTAAGAATATGGCGTGTCTGATTTGTATGTGAATTTTTTAAGAACATTTATAGAATAGAATTGATACTGTAAATATTTGAACATTATATCCTCTTAAGGCAAAGTTTCATGATTTTGTTTTGTGATGTGTATAGATATTTATGGACCTTTTGTGTCTGGACGATAGAATAACTAATCCAATAATTCAAATATAGAAAATTATTCCATATTGGTACTATTTTAGTAGGTATTTCTACATTAATTAGATTTTGAATAAAACAGCATATTCACCTGAGGAAAAGTGATATTCACCGCGCTTAAATCACGTGTTAATTATGGTAAAATGTTTGGCGTACAATGAATACATTTTTTCCCTCGAAATATGGAATAAAACAGTCATTGTCTTTTGTTTTGGTAAATATTTGGTTTAATTGAAATTTGAAAAACTGATATTCACTTCGGCCGTTGACCTCAGTAAATATCATTTTTTCTTCTTCCAAAAGTCAATAAATAAAGACATTCTGGTATGATCTTATCTTAGCTCCGTCCAATAGTATATAGTTGGTTCTGAATATGCATTGCAATTATTCCGGGTATACTCTATTCAAGTGATAAAACGAACATTTGCATTTTAGCAACATAATTGTTTTTTGTCGGAAGAGTTTGTCATAATATCCGTAAATGACAGGATTTATAATGTTGTTTATGACGTTCATTTCACGAATTGCTGCTAACATTGCAAGTTCTCTTTTGCTTTTGTTTATCCAAAAGTTGTTTTTTCCAACTGACGCGAACAGTAGTATGAACTGTGGGATATACGACAGGCAAAACGCAATCGCTACCATCATAAACATATAGGAGAAACTGTGAGAAAAACAATTTCCTTTCAATATTTCTGTCTTTTCCCTGTTCGGATTCTGTTCTGACATGGACGCTCCGTTCTGACTACCAGAAAAAGTTTGAAGATTATGTGTGTTCTCAGTTGTGCTTGACTGTTCAACACTACCACGAAAATTTGAAGTCATCTTTTTCCTAGCATGCAATTGCTTATAAATTGTACGTCCAATTAAAGTATTTAGAAATAGTAATCCACTCAATGTAATGAGAACAAAGATAGAAGCAAAGGCCACAAAAATAAAAAAGCCAGGATCTACTCTAGTAATATCAATGTCACAAATGTAACCCGTTACATTTAGATCAGTATTAAATAACTCCAATTCTTTATTGTAAATATTTAATACCATCGTTGGAAAAAGTGAAATTCCAATGCATAATCCAAGTGCAACTCTCTTCCATGTCAATGACATCTGTTGCCCGAACGGATGACATACTTTGAGATATCTGTGAAATGTTATAACTAACAACAGAAGCGCAGATGAAAATGCCGTTATATTTACTGGAATCCAACATAATTTGCATAACAATGTACCTCGAAAGTTAACAGGGTAGATTTTTCTGGACAACTCGAACGATGATCTAAAGGTGCAAGCTAGAAGATCTAACAATGCAAGCCATGGAATAAAATACCGATCGTCAACATTTTGTTTCATTTTATATTTATAAACTATTAATACTATGGCATTACCAAATATACCAAGTACAATATAGGTTATTAATAAGACATCGTTTACAATATATATCGCTGCTTGCTCATTGTTCCACTTCTCTAATCTTTGTTTTTCCGTGAGGTTCATTTCTGTATGGTCTTTGCAATACAGTATCCGACTGTATATAATCTGGCAAGTTGTTGTAATATAACACTTTGCATAGACAATTATAATGTTTAAATTTCCATTCACACAAGGGAAAATTAAATCCATTATAATAAAATGAAATTGTCACAGAAAATATTGCTTCACTCAAGTTAACGAGATACTAATGGTGTTTTTTACCCTTGGTATGTAGCGAGTAAAGTTATCGTTTTAATAATTAATATCTCCACATACTTATCTTAGTTACCAATAATGAACATGAGCAAACAAATGAGCACAATATAAACATTTTTTTATCAAAATATTTGCCTATAACACATTTATTTGAATAAAATCGACTACTTGTTTTTAAAATTGACATAACATCTTACAGACTCTGACCACAGTTGCATGCTAAGGACTGTACATTGATGCCAGCTTCTTAAACTTTTGTGTTAAGAGTTTTTTATGAAGGTTCTTCACTTTATTCAGTTGGTTTCTTAAATTTGAAGTGTCCTTGCGCATATCCAAAACAATCTTTTAATTCATATATCGAATGGCACATATTAATAGCAACCATCTTATCCAAAACCCTCTGTCTGCCCCTCCCTTAGAAAGTCAAATGATCATCACTTGCAGATTAATTCCACCTTACAGACTTTGAAGTAATTTTATTTACGATAGAAAATAACATAAAAAGACAATGATAAATATTCTGTGTAACAAAATAACACTGCCCTTCCCTTGCCTAGCAGCTGGAGAAAATCAATATTCCGTCCACAAATAAAAAAAAACCTGCACAATAAAATTGTCTCCCTCTTAAATTTAATGCTAATCAATGTTTGCATTACCTTTACATTTTAACTCCGTTGTTCGAAATGGTTTAACAAAAACTCCGAATCTAAGAAAAATGGCAACTTTCCGAATAGAATGATGACTTACTGAGCAATGTAAATATTTCTACAACAGGAAAGGCTATCGATTGGCTGACGACTGCATAATTGCAACAACAATGCTTTTAACGGCTCTAATTCAATGTCTGATCGAGTATTTCAAAACCCCTTTGAAGCCGGTGTATAACAGAATTCAAATAAAAAAAAAATCTTTAGATTACAAGTAAATGCTTAAAACAAAGCCGTTAGATGCATTAACAAATTAGGTTGTTGATTAAGTAAATTAAATTTGGGTTTCTTAGCATTGCAAACAAAGTTAATCAATTGCAATTGGGACATGCAAGTAGTTCAGATGGTAATATTGTTTTATTGCTTATTTAACCGTACATACAGCTATACATGTCAAATATGAATGCAACTATTGGTTGCTTCTTAACGAACAAGTCAGTAAATGAATATTTGAAGCTGAAAGGATTGCCGAAACTATAAGCAAATTGGTGTACTCCCGAGTGTACATATATGTTTACGTTTCAGTTCTTTCACATTTCCGGAGTTTGTAGTAAAATGATTCAAAATCACTCATCATGTTTCATTAGGATGTAAACACTCAAAATATAAGTGGTAAAGTATACCTAATGAACGTACTGTATGGAGTAAAGTATACCTAATGAAAGTACTGTATGGAGTAAAGTATACCTAATGAACGTACTGTATGGAGTAAAGTATACCTAATGAACGTACTGTATGGAGTAAAGTATACCTAATGAACGTACTGTATGGAGTAAAGTATACCTAATGAACGTACTGTATGGAGCTGGTTTTCACCGTTTGTTCATTTCAACAAAATAAAATTTACTTTGTTGGTAAAATAAGAAATTATTAAGAAACTAAGGTTCCAACTTCCTCGAGAAAAGTTGACCTTAGATTAATTTGGCTATTTTATGGCCCCTTTTAGGTTATTTGGCGCTACGTGTGTTTTGGTCTTAAACATCCTTCGCTTTCAAATGATTGGGTTTGGGCGTTTCTGATGCAGGTTAATCCAGAAAAGCGATTTGGACGCACTAAAAGTAACAATTGTTATTTTCATTTACTGTATTGAATGAAAGCTTATCTAGCACCAGAGCTTCTTTGTTACCTTGTAGAATATATGCAAGATGTTTAAAGGTATGCCGACCTTTCGGAAAACAGATGACATTGAGTGGAAAAAGAGTGGCACTAGGATTAACGCTAGGGATTTCCCTCATCCCTTCGATGGCATTAACTGTTTACAATGAAGAAGTAAAAGTTTACAACTCAGAGCTCAATGTAACTGGGTTTGTTTGTGAAATTGATATAAATGGTATAGATGCTGGTTTCATCGTATTTATCGTTTTTACAACTGTCTTTATCGTGTTATTATGGGCGGATTGTTATTATTATATAGCACCAAAGATTCTTTGTTACCTAGTAGAAGAACAAAAAACTTCCAATTATGAAAAGAGATTTACATCATATTACTATATCACAAGGGATATTGCAAAAAAAACCCCAAATTTAATATTTTACAAAACAATACTGTAACCGGTGAGCATAACACAGAAAAAAGATTGCGCAATACTACCTCCCTCCACCCCCTCCCCCCAAAAAAAGTATGGTGAAAGTAGGTGGTCCAAGGAGGTGGTCCAAGGGATTCACGCGTGACATTCATCGTGTTGACCATGATAAATGTAATTCCGCTGTAGTGAAAGACATATTGTATAGTGTCGATAGATTTTAAGTTTCACTATCAAAATATTTAATGACTAACAAGTAACATTGGTTGAACGAATACTTATATCAAGAAATTAGTTTTTTTGCACCTTTGAAATACATTCATACATTCCTTTGTTGAATTTTTGAAAATTGCCTTTTTTATCGAGAAACCACACATGTGACATTACCATGCATGACCTCATCTCGGATTATCTATTAATTGTTATTACCAGTTACTGGCTCGACAGTAAAACTGTTGTATCTTTCAAAGCAAGATATCCTAACATTTTCAGTTGCACCTCTTATAACTATAACTTAAGGTTGTGTCATTTTCGTATTGTTCATGTTTTAGACGTTATTTTCAATGTTGTGGTGTTCGGTACAATGTCTTCGTAGAACTATAAGTAAAATTGGCACTGTCAACAGACCTCAGGAACCGCTCATGTATTGAGAGAAACAAAAATTAGGTCTCTTGTATGGTCTGTTTTATATTTCAAGGGTGCAAAATAAAAATAAAAACAATAACGACCAACACAAGGCTCAGCTGTCTTGACTTTGTATATTCACGAAATGGGTTAAACCGATGTGTTATCCTTTCACTTTTTGGTGTCTTCTAACAGCTTATTTCGAACGCTGCATGCAGGGCATGCTATACTAATCCCTGACGTTTCTGCCAGTTTCATGTTTTGCTTTGAGTTTTAGCTGTTTTTGTTGTTGTTATGAGCAAAAGCATTCTGATTTTGTACAACTTAAGACTATAGCTCCAAAATTATGCTTTCTCTGGTAATACAGTTCGTACCAAAAGTTAATGA